GCTGTAGCCAGGGTCGGACGCAGGGCAGGGCATGGGCCCGGTAACAAGGCATTTTTGAATTGTTTTTTGGCGCGCTTTTTTTTTAATTTTTTTTGGCTAGGCCAAAAAACGCAAAAATTTCTAGAAATGGGTTTTAAACGCTGTTAATTCATTTATTTTCTTGATAACTATTACAGTTTTCAAGATATGAGTTTGGCGGGAAAACGAAATTCAAAAAAAAATGTCCTGTTGAAATGCTCTGCCCTGCGTCCAACCCTGGCTGTAGCCTTGGCTAGAATTTTTTTGTTTAAATAAGAAGAGGTTGAAGGGAGTTACATAAGCTTATTAACAATGTTTGCAATTGGGTTGGTTCAAAATGTTAAGCAAAGGCTAGATTTTAAAGCAGGGGCTCACTAGCCCCAACTCGTCATCTCGGCTCTCCCTTGAACCGACGGAGTTGAAGCAACTTAGAAAAGGGCCGTGCCGAACCGGAGCGTTCGGATTCGACGGTCGGGTTCAAATGAAGGTTTGAGGAGCCTAGCTTAAGTCCCGCAACAAAACGTTTTACATGTTAAAAGTTTGTACTGTGTTTTATACTGAAAATAGTTTAAATATTGATTATTTTGAGAACAGTAGCTGTATGATTGTCTTGGTTGTCATTTTAATGAATTTATGTAAAAAGCCTGACTGACACTTAGGCCGAAAAGCCAAGGTCCAAACCAAAGCCCATTCCGTCAGGAAAGCCGAAAGACTAGGCCAACCCTAGTCATGTTACATATCTAACAAAAGCTAAGATTTTTTTTCAATTTTGTTTTTTGAGCTTTAATTTATCAGTGACATTTCGCAATTCCTGCTGTGTAAAGTTACATGTGTGAAAGAATGTCATCATTTAACGTTCCATGCCATTCAACCAAAAAACCTCAAACGCCAACTTTTTAAGCGTATTTTCTCTCCGCCATAGACGTGCCATTTTTCTGTTAACCATACACAGTAATATCCGAAATAACCGTAGTTAATATGGTAAGTTAATCGTATTTCCGGGTGTGACGTCCCCAAGTTTTTCGGAACGATAAAATTTTTTTCGAAAAATTTTTTTTAAACTTGTTCGACGTAACAAAATTGACTATTTGGCTATCGGGGGCTATTTGGGAATCGCTGGGTAATCTCCGTAAACTAGTTAATGTCTTGTTAATTCTGGTAAAAAGCAGAATGAGGAAGTTGGACGGTTTTTATTATTGGCTAGGGATAAAAATGGACTTTTTTACAAACTTCGGGAAAAATTGAATAGTAGGCCAGAAAATTAGTCCTAGCTCTAGACCAGAGCCCTTAGTTTAAAACCCTAGCCAAGCGCCTCCAACCCAAAGTCTCCAGCCTAGAGCCGAGGGCCTCAGCCCAGAGCCTCCAGCCCAGAGTTTTCAGCCCAGAGATCTACTCTAAAGCGCTAGCCCACAGCCCTAGCCAAATTCCTAGCTTATAGTCCTAACTTAGAGCTGTAGTTCTAGCTTTAATTTTAGCTTTAGCCCTACCCCAAAAGCCCTAGCCCACAACCCTAGGCGAAAAGCCCTAGCCCGAAAGCTCTAGCCCAGTGCCCTAGTCCAGAACCCCAAACGCAGAGCCTTCAGCACAATGTTCCCAGCCCAAAGCTCTTGCTCTAGCCCGAAGGCACTAGACCGAGAGCCCTATTCCAAAAGCCCTAACCTAAAAGCCCTAGCCCGAAGGCACTAGACCGAAAGCCCTAGTCTTAACCCGCTAGCTTATGCCCTAGCTTTGGTCCTCAAACTTTATTACAAATTGCAAAAGTTGTTATAATCAGCATCTATTTCTGACCCCAGTGTTAAAAAATGTAGCCCTACTTTTTTAAACTGATCCAATTTAAAATTTAATTTCATTATGAAGCGCGGAACTTTGGCCCAATTTACGGGGCTCGGAACTGTAGCAAACTGCAGAAGAATGGGAATGTCTGGGGGTTCCGAGAAGGATGAGGATCAATTCGATTAACTGTCATATTTGGTAAACATACAAAAACAGATAAGGATAATTGGGTTTGCGGCTATGCCGGAAGTGGCAAGGTTAATGGGTTTACAGAGTAATATAATGATAAATAATAAAAATGTGGCTAGAAGTAAGGGTATGAACATATCATAATGTTTTTGGTATGATTAACAGTTAAGGCTTTAGCTACTTTTAAAGTTAGGACAGGGTAGGAAAGATCAGGTACGGGCAGAGCAGAGTTGGGCAAATCTGGCTTAGTCAGAGCTAGGCACGGGAAGGCGGGCATGTTACGAAAAAACAGAGCAAAGCCGGAGAGGGTAGGACTGGTCAGAGCTAATCAGAGCAGGGCAGGACAAGGCAAAAGAGGGCCCGGCTTGGAAAACAAGGGCAAGAAGAGGCAAGGATTCGAACGAAATCGTAGGGCAGAGCTGGGTAAGGCAAGGCTAAGCAAGGCAAGGCTAAGCAAGGCAAGGCAAGGCAAGGCAAGGCAAGGCAAGGCAAGGCAAGGCAAGGCAAGGCAAGGCAAGGCAAGGCAAGGCAAGGCAAGGCAAGGCAAGGCAAGGCAAGGCAAGGCAAGGCAAGGCAAGGCAAGGCAAGGCAAGGCAAGGCAAGGCAAGGCAAGGCAAGGCAAGGCAAGGCAAGGCAAGGCAAGGCAAGGCAAGGTTTTTCTCTTTGTATACGTAGTACGTATGTATATTGTAGTTTTATGACCAAAGAACACAAGTCACATTTTATGTTAATCAAAATACAAATTGCTACAGACACTACGATAATTAATCTAATGAGCAAACAAAATGCATAATTGCAGAACGTACTTGAAGGCATTGCTAGAGACATGATATTTTCTTGTAACTTCTAGAAAATTCGAGTATGTTCTTGTTGGACTTTTAAGCCGTATATATACATATAACTTTTTCGGTTTTTTCATTTACGAAAAAAAAGAAAAAAAAGAAATTTTTTCTAACATTTTATCCATTTTCGCATTTTCTTTTTTTAAAGTTTAATTACTTACTGTGTGTAATAGGTCTGTATCTAATCTCACCTTGTAACATAACTGTTTGTCATTATTTGTATATATATCTCTATATGTCTACAATTATACAAATATACGTAGCCACAGTGTTTTTTTTCAATTGTCGCTCAACTGTTTCCGCTACGTCAAATAATGCACAATTGTTTGCAAATCTTTTGAAATGGTTGAATGACCTAAGAACTATGATGTGTAATATCTTATTTTAACGACGTCTACGGTAGTTTTTAACGTTTCTTTAAGTAATCCGTACTATGTACTGTACATAGTCCTACACTAGTTTTCTCGCCTTTTTCTCGCTCTGCGCTACTGTAATTTTGTAGGTTAGGATATGGTACGGTAAGATAAGGTAGGGTAGGCTAGTGTCGTATAATTTGGTGTTGGGTAGGGTAGAGCGAGGTGGTATAAGTGCCTCAATCTTTATTGTATGTAAAGGCTACTGTTGTTTGATGTTTTGATTTTTAACTTTAAAAATTAAAAAAAAACGCTTTATTGCACTTACAATTAAGAATATTGCAGTACAATAGCGTTCAAAACCATTAAATTGTAAAACAAATGTTTGAAGGCGATTATGACGCAGAGTACCAGAATGTGGAACGTTTTATGATTACTCTAATGGTAATTTTCATTTTTGAATTCTTGAAAAATGTCGTAAAAAGTGTTTTGGATAACCATAAATTGACTTGGAAGTGTTATATAATATATAAATTAACGTTAATTAACGGTTTAAAATGGTTTTTCCTGATTCATAAGTTATTGTAAATTGACTAATTGGGTGTAATCCACTTATAGCACAGTACTTCCTATGTACAGTGTGACCAGAGACGTCGCTAGAGGTCTTTTAGAAAGAGGGGAAAGGTGTAAAGAACCTATTTCTCATTTTTTTAATTTCCCGAGTTGCGGAGGGAGGAGGGGGGGGTGAGAAAAAATAGATCCACCCTCATATTGGCCAGTATAATACATTTTCTGTTTTCAATAATTTGTGCATCCCTGGTCGGATACACTTCTCTAATATCGTAAATTAGTGTTTTAGTATGTTGTTTACAACACAGCTGTTTTGCGATACAGTAAGATTAGTTTCAGACATGATTCTGATTGTTATGGCTTTTGGCACTTTATGCAATAGACGCATAAGTAGTACAAAACATAGTTTAGCGGGTTAAAAGTTGATCCAAAAAAACGAGCGTGGATTTTAAATTTTAATTATTTCATATGATGTGTCTTTTTGATAACAGATATTTACCCTCTTTTGCTTAGTTCTAGTTCAGCCTTAAAATAGCCCTACTCTAGCCTTACCTTAGCTCTTCCCTGCTCAAAATGTACCTCTAAACACCTAATTGTCATGTCTCATGGAAATGACAATAAACCAAAAAAACCACTTGAAAAAAAAAACGGTTTTCCCGCACACGCCCTAATTGGGATTAAAAATTCGATAGTGGGGGTTCGGGGCTGATTTTTAATTTACTTCCGTTCACAAAACAAAAGCCCTAAAGGAATGCGGAGGTTGGCAACCGCCTTCATTTCGAATGTAAAAGTTTAAACACAAGTTCAAATTAAGTGATGCCATACATAATGAAACTACAGTTTGCTACTGTAGCTGGTTTTTATGTCTTTTGAAAAAAGGTCAAGTTTACAAAAGTCAGTCGATTTTGCGATGTGTTTTGTACTTTAATGGTTTGAAAAGCTAAAATTAGCCTTAGCTGAACCAGATCAAGCCTAGCATTAGCTGGGCTAATTTCTTCTCAAGTCTACGTTCCTGTGCTGATTTTTCACTTCTAGTCCTATGTTGTCATCTAAACATATTTGTTTTATTTTTTGATATTTTGATGTTTTTGAACCTTGAAATTTTATGAAATTTTTGATCTATGATTTACGGTCCAAAAACCAGGTCAAAATAAAGGTTTCTACCATTACGTAGTTGTTTTTTCGGCATCTGTAAGCCGCTGAATCGATCCCTTAACAATAAAATGAAAAGCGCTTTCTGCCCGCTAAACCAAGCTCAGCCTGGCTGAGCATTTGCAATACTGTTAATGCTGCATTCGATCTTTACGATATGATTAATCCTGCGTTTATAATACTTCAAAAATATTTTAAGAATATTATGTTTACAAATTGTTATAGAAGAATTTATAATATTGTTTATGTAAACGATTATTTGAAAATTTAAGCTATTGTATGTCATAACTGGAAGTAGATTTCAATTATTTAATTATTGATCTTTTGGAGAAAAATAGGATTACTGGCCAAAATACTGTAGGATCTAACCTTAGCCATAGCCATAGCCATAGCCATAGCCATAGCCATAGCCATAGCCATAGCCATAGCCATAGCCATAGCCATAGCCATAGCCATAGCCATAGCCATAGCCATAGCCATAGCCATAGCCATAGCCATAGCCATAGCCATAGCCATAGCCATAGCCATAGCCATAGCCATAGCCATAGCCATAGCCGTAGCCATAACCATAGCCATAACCAATCTTAGCCTTAGTCTTTATAACAGCCTCAGCTTTGGCTTTACCTTTAGTCTACAGTTCAATACCGTACCACCATTTTTGCTTGGTGCCTCACACTTACTAGCGTTAATTTTAGCTTTAATTTTTAAAAATTTCTAAAATTTGTTACAAGAAACAAATATTTTCAAATACGATACATATTGCAATGGCATCATAATCAAATTACTGGTTCGTATGTTTGTCTGTACTTTTGCGTCAATTGCAACGTTTTCGTCGTTTGCACCACGAATGGAAAGCAAGTTAACATTGTTATTGGCATTAGTTCGGATAACACATTAAACTGATGATCATTGTCTTATCTTAGCCTTGGAAGCCGCAGCTTTGGATTGTATTGTAGGAGAGTCTTTCGCGGGTAGGGGAGAATGAGAAAATTTTAAGTTTTTAGCTGGTTTTTTATTTGGGCAGTGTAATTTTAGGGGGGGGGGCGGGAGATGGAAGCGATACTAATATTTTTAGGCCAAAATTCTTTAGGTACACTTATAAAAAACAAAAAAAACCCTAAAATTTGGGCGGGGTAATTTTTTTGGGGAAGGGGAAAGTAAAAATTAAAAAAATATTTTTTTTTCAAAATTTTTTTCGGGCGTGATAATTCAGGAAGAGGGGGTGCATAATTTAAAGTACATTATAATATTTTTTAATTTGTAAACTTTTTTTGTTTTAAAGTGCAATTTTCGTTTACAATACAAATGTTTACCCTATTATAATATTCGAATTGCGTCCACAGCCAACAATTGTTTATTGTTTTGAGTAAGTAATCAAAAGATTTACCCAAAAAAGAGTGAAATCATCCCATTGTTGTAGTGTCATATAAATATATTCCTTGACGCATTAATCGTATTATCTGTGCAGTCGGAAGTGGTTTTAAAGCCAACTTTTATGCATATTTAATTGTTACATTATAGAGCAGTCATCTTCGGATTTTGCAGAAGAGAAGGGGGTTTTATATTTTTGAGGAGAGGGGGTAGATTACTGTAAAAAAAGAGGGGGCTAGGATACAGCTGTGTCTACGTCTACAACTACTTCTAAGGCTAAGACTAAGATTAAGGCTAAGGCTAAGGCTAAGGCTAAGGCTAAGGCTAAGGCTAAGGCTAAGGCTAAGGCTAAGGCTAAGGCTAAGGCTAAGGCTAAGGCTAAGGCTAAGGCTAAGGCTAAGGCTAAGGCTAAGGCTAAGGCTAAGGCTAAGGCTAAAGCTAAGGCTAAGGCTAAAGCCAAGGTTAAGACTATAATTTATGTTTAATATCATGACATCAACACTAATACCTTTACAACACCGTTGTTGTTTGATCTCTAGTAAAAGTGTATATAAAAGTTAATTGCATTAGGTCAAATACAATTTAATTTGTCATCAATTTGTTTAAAAAAGCAATGGCACTTGGTGTCATTTTAATTTTGGGTTTCAGCTCAAAGTTTAGGTATTCAAAAGAGGAACTAGTTCTTTTTAATTTCATTTTTATTTTTTTAAATACAAATTTAATTGTACAAAGAATGTTTGTCATAGTGCAAGTACAGTATCAACGTTTAATTATAGTTGGTACTATTAGATGCCAACATAAAGAACCCGCCATTGTTTAAAAGAAATTACAGGAAAAGTATGGCAGGCTCTTTATGTTGGCACCTAATATCTTCGAGTCTAGTGTCTTATACTATGATAAATTCAAAAGCCTTGCTTTAAGCCTAACAAAAGACTAAGCAAAACACTTTAAACAAAGTAAACATTTTATAAACTTAAAAGTGGTGTCATTATATTTGTTTTTACAAAAATAGTTTACTGTTGCAGATCAAAACAAAAAGAATATTAAATAGGGCCAAAAGGGGACTTTTCTGACCTTTTGTTCTTTCTTTGAACGTTACATTTAAACAGAATTGGACTTGTTTGTGGTACTGTAGAACATGGTTTTTACTATTTTTTGTCTCTTGACCGTTGTTATAACTGAGCTTGATTTCAGTCTTAGCCTACTTTGATCCTGAATTAGAGCCTGAATTAGAGCCAGAGCGCGAGGTTAAGCCTGAGCCTAAGCTTTGACCTTAGTTTGAGCCGTATTCTTAGCTTGTGGGTTAGCACGAGCATGCCCCTAAGCATGAGCTTGAGGTTGAGCCTAAGCCTGAAATTAAGTCTGAGCCTGAGGTTGAGTCTAATCTTGTGTCTGAGCTTCTACCAAAGCATGAGCCTGAGCTTCTGCCTGAGTATGAGCTTAAGCCTTAGTTAGCCTCAAACTTAATTTTAACCTTGCTTCAGTTGGCCTTGCTTAGTCAATCTTGTTATAAACTTTAAATATTAAATTATAAAAATTTTTTGTTTTGTGTAGAACATAAAGCTAGGTATTACAGTAGCAGTTCTTTCTCCCATGATACTAATCACAAATTAAAGTAATTTAAGTAACTTAAAAGGGATTATCGTTCTTAACCCAACCAAATCTTACCATGATATCATTCCAATTAGTTTTCTTGCATCTAAAACAATTCATTTGCAGTTCGCTTGGTCGCATAAAACTTTTTTATTCTTGTAGTTTCTATTAGATGTATTTTAAGTAGTATTCTTTGGTTTTTTTAAAATTTTATAGTAAAACATTGTGCGTATTGTGTACGTGCCTATATTATGACATAATGTTATAAATTGTGTATGAAATGATGACACGTGAACAATGTTAAAGTACTAAGATGTTTTTGTGTTTTTTAATTTAGCAATTAATGTAGACAGAGTACAATAATTAATTTGTACATTTTGTTATCTAGGCTAGTTATAGTGAAGGTGAGAACAACAAATTTAGTGCGGGGAATATGAAAACATAAAAATATGTATATAGTTATTTTTTAATGTGCAATACAAACGGCAAAATAATTTTTTTATTTTTAGTTAACATTTTTATTACAATAGTATCTCTACATAACGAATTTACCAACGTCTTATCCTTTTTTTTATATATAAGAGAATTTCAATTTAGTTATACAACAGTTTTAAATGCACGTGTAGTGTTACCAGGAAATTTAAAAGTCGTTTGTTATATTGCTATGAGGTTAAAAATGTTAACGACACTTTACCTTGCACAGCCAGGAATTTTAGTTCAGGGAGATAAGTACTAGTCTTATCTTTCTAGCTCTAGATTTAGCCCTAGATTTAGCTTTAGCCTTAGCCTTAGCCTTAGCCTTAGCCTTAGCTACCAAATCCTTATGTTCTACTTTATAAAGTTCAAACCGGAAGTCTAGACCGAGGAGTCTCATTTTCCTACAGTACTTTTAAAATTAGATTTTTGTTCTCTGAGCACTATTTTAAGAATTCGACCCAAGTATCTTTGAGACGCAAAAAGAAACTTTGTTTATTGGTCAATTTAGCTTATTTTAGTAACAAAATTTTGTTCTAATTTTAATTTTTTTTTATTTTAACACCCTTTTAAATATTATAAAATACGAGTGAAATTTTATGTTATTAATTAAAATTTATGGTTTCTATAATATTAAAAACTATATTTTAAATTTTTTTTATTTTTTTTAATAAAAATTAGCGACAATAGTTTTCAAATGACGTAATTTTGCTTTAGTAACCAAAAGTTTTCGTAAGTTATACGAAATTTTGAGCTAAACAACAGTCATTTGATATCATTGTAGACTGACAGTGGGTGTGATATCTGAAAACATGTTTGTTATTGCACTAAAATTACTTGTAAATTGCGGGTTTCTCGGCTGGGTCAAATTATGTTATGCAAATGAAGGGCTTGACATTACAAAATTTGATATTTTTTTCAAAAAAAATGATCATGTGGAGCATTTTACGTTTGGTAGTTTATTCTCTTAAAAAATGACTGATGGAGCTTGGATATGAAGTTCTTGACCATTGTCCATATTCACTAGGCATGGCACCTACGATTACCACATTTTTAAATTTGACTGCATTTATAGCGACGATCACTGAAAAAGACGATTTCAAGGAGGTCAAAACTTACTTTGGTACCAGAAGCTTTAAATTCTATGCTACTGGTATAAAGAAGCTTGACAAACGTCGGACAGATTGTGATAAAGTCGATGATAATAAAAAATTTTTTAACCCTAACTATAGTACAGTTAAAAATTTAGCCTAAATGTCGAACAAAACAAAAATTATTTAACTATTTTTTTATTCAAACATCATCATCACTGTTTACGTCTACAGTAATCACGATTAAAAAGATTTTGTAAAAATTTCAAAAATTTCACAGAAATTTGAAAAATATACGTTATGGTATCTAAACGTGACGCCGAAACGTTAAAAATACTATGTTATTGTATAGACGAGATTCCTTACAGTGCTGTTTCGAGGAACTTTGACGAGTTTTGCTTTCGCAAATTTTCGTTTTTAGGCTTCTTTTGGCTAGAAATAGAAAAAAATCAAAAATTGGGGCGGGTTTTCATAGTTGTATGTCAATATTAAAACTATTTGCGGAACAGTGATACCTTTCAGTATGAATCTTTTGTTGTGCTTGTGAGGTTGGTTTTGGGCTTACTGTAATTTTGTAATTTAAAAGGCTCAGGCTAAGGTTAAAGCTGTGGCTAGAGCTAAAGCAGGGTTAGAGCTGACACTAGGGCTAGAACTAAGGCTATGACTAAAGCTAAAACTACGAGTAAGGGAAGGGTTAAGGCTTTTGCGTTAAAAAAATTTTTTTAGTAGGCGATTTTAATATTTTCATAAAGTTTTTTTTCGAAAATTCTAGATGTTTTTTAGAATTCTCTCATCATTAATCTCAAAATTAAATCGTTTTAATGACATAAATAACTTATAAAACTTGCTGTAGGGATTTTTTCAATTATCATGTTTAAAAAGCCGTGTTACGGTATTTCAAGCGTTTTAGTCACGTATTTTAATCTTAAATAAACAATGATAAGGACTCATGATTTATGTAGTTTTGGTCACTTAACACAAAAAAGGAATGGGCGTTTTTTGATATTTTGGGGCTCATTATAACCTTAGTATTCTGTAGTACATTAAAATTTTTATTTAGTATTTGTTTTTTAATACAAATATTACTATAAGCAATATCTTGTAGACACTCCCTTGCCTTAAGATTTTAATGAAGATCTTTTACATACATCAACAAAAGGTTTCGGCATTACAATTTTAAGACTTTAAGATACCTACGTTAATATTCAGACATGTTTTCATCTTAAAACGTTTATGTCACGGTAAAAAAACGGGTCTGCATGTGTCTTAAATCTTTGTAAAAAACTTTATGTTAATGTTTTTTTCATCGTATAAATCTTTACCTTAAATCATTTATGCCACCGTTAAAGACCCAGTCTAAACATGTTTGTGCTAAAATATTATTGGTTAAGTTAACATCAATTGTATTATTGGATTGGGCATTAACATCAATTTTACGGCCATATCTTTGTGACATACGCATTTAATTCCAGTCAAATCTATTTAAATATTCGGTCAATTTAATTTGTGTCGTATGTTATTACTTGCTGTCTTCTTGACGCAGTAAGCGTCACAATTTCAACACATGTTTCCTGTTGTATATATTTACAGTTAAAGAAGTAGGAGATTAAGTTTTATTAATTTGATTGGGAGACTAAAACTGTACTGCGTCCTAGGATAAAATGCTACAGACAATTTTAAACTATAATTCTTAAAGTACTGAAAAGATTTTCGAAACTTATAGTGGTTCCAGTGGGTAAAAGTTATCTTGCTGTTTGAAAAAATTACTCAGAACCATTAAAATCGGTCATGTCTAATTACATTTTAAACACTTTACCTTGATAATCTTCCGTGTTCAAAAACTTAATCGTATCTTAAAATACACGGTTTGCAGTAACTTAATCCTTCGCCGAATACACTGAGTAATTTTGACGTTATTTCGGAAACTATGTCACCTTGTTTATCTTTGTGTTTAGAAATCGACTAGTAAAAACCCGCCGGGACAGGAAACGTGTAGGCTTCTACGTATTTTTAGTCTTAAACGTGAGCTCAGTACAGTACCCGCCGGGACAGGAAACGTGTAGGCTTCTACGTATTTTTAGTCTTAAACGTGAGCTCAGTACAGTATTAATTGACAAAAACAAGACGTACAATATTGCAGTTAAGTTAGAGATCAAACTATGTTACATATTTTACACGTAAATATGTCTAGCGTAAGCTTTTTACACTTTCTTTTATAGTACGCACGTTTTCATTGAAGTGTTTATCAATTTTGCAAGGTAGTTTTCAATGATGTTTGTCTAATTGTGACTATTATTGGTGTTTAAACTGTTTTGTATGTTCGTACA